CCCTTCAGGCGCCTGGTGGAGAGAACAATCGTCCTGACACCTGTCCTGACACCCCTAGATACCTCTATAGCCTTAGAGATCTTGAACATCTTCAACCGAACAAATTCTTGTGCAACACAATGACAAATAGTATCAAATCAGAGACATCAGTTTATCAAATCCAACATGATCCTCTGCGCAGACACTGCTCTCTGCGCAAAAAAACTGCTCCTCTTCAGGGATCGGCGAGCCGGGTGGACAATACTTCCTGGCACGGTTCTTCGTATCGGCGCCGAGGGGAGGCTCCGAGCGAAGGAGAGCCGAACGCGAGGCCTCTCTGAGTACCTTCGTTTCGGTTGGGTGGGACTGGGCTGGGTGCCATGTTCGGGTCCAGTCATACCTGAGGTGCGACTGGAGGTGTAGGGTTTGAAATGATCCAACTCATAGTTTGGTGAAAAAGGTCTTCGGTGTTTCTTTTTCACACCGTAGACCAGAGAGATGGAGAAGGGTCACCACCCGTTGTGTTCAGGCCGAAACCCAACGGGCGACGCGTGAAAACACGACGGGCGGAGCTCACCCCGGTGGACATAAGCCGGTTCCAGCCGAAGAGGCCGCCCGGGCATCACCTGAGTTTTTCATGTTTATCGTTTTTTTGGAGGGATGCGAGATGAGTGGAGATGAGTGGAGATGAGGATGTTTTAACTTTGGGGGGTTGGAGAGCGAGCATGTTCCAAGTCTTGTGTGAATGCTTCAAAGGCATGACAAAAAATGCGGAACAAATGAACTTACTGCACTTCGATGGACTGAGCTTGACACAATAGGTACCCGCCATACATTGCCTTGGCTTCACCCGAGCGCTTCAAAACGACACAGGTACCGCCTCGACGCTTCCCGCGCGGGAGCGCCCTCCGCCCCGCCGTCCCACACCCCCCGGCTTCCGAGCACCGATACAGTAGCTGGTGCCCATAGCGTGATCCGATCCACCGGTCGCTGGGTTAGTAAGATTGGCTTCAACAGAAAACCCTCCATCATTTAGAAAACCCTACATCATTCAGCTTCTGGGCAGAGTTCGATCGATTCGTGCTGGAGAACCGTGTGCGAGACTCGTCTGAAGGCTTCATTCGGTCTTCTCTCTCACTGCCAAAGAGAAAAGAATTGGTCTCCCACGTGTGGTCCAATGCTGTGTGACTGTCCGATGGAGCAAGATGGAGAAAGGTGGGCATCTGGGCATGTGCGACGAACCTTTCCAGTATGAAAGAACGGCGACTTTCTTGCTCTCACATGGTAACACAAAGTTGGATGGATCTGGACTACATACAATCTTCTGTGGGCCCTTCAACGTTCCAAACAAAGAAAACACGCCGACCACAACAATTCGTGCAAGAACTCACCAGTGTCTTTATCCGATCCACTTGCATGTCAGTAAACACGAAACCATTGCAAAGCGGTCACAGAACCAGCACCAAACCCCACAAATTATACACATGAATAACGTCGGTTGCACCCTCAGCCGCACCGAAAGAACAAAGAACCACGTCTCCCAGCTGACACGGGTCCCCACCCGTGAAGAAAAGAACGGCGGAAAAACGCCCAGTGGCTGCGGCGCTCGCATGGCCAAGGGATTGATGGCTGGAAGCTCGAACTGGGAGAGTGGCTGGCATGATTTCAGGGGTTCAGTTTCGGCTTTAATCTTTCATGTCGGGTCCTTTCTTCGGGTACCGCCCGATGTTGACGGGCTGGAGTCGTCGCACGAGGTGGACCGACCGATCAACGATGGTGCTCGACTCCTCCAACCACAGACCATGCGGTGGTCTGGGCCGGGCCAGTCACTCAGGAGCGAGAAAAACCGCGACCTTTCGACATCCCCAAAAAGGCACCCTAAGGCAGAGATGCCTTGAACATCCACATCTGAGAGGGGCCAAAGGTCACAGGAAAACCCAGAGTCAGCTGGTATAAACTTGCAAATCTCAATTGATGCCGGTCCAAGCCCTAACCTAACCGATGGGAAGTGCTTGTTGCATGATTCTCGTAGGTCGGAAGTTCGACAGGTGCTTGTACAACGATTTCGACGGGAGTTCAGGTTGACTACCTTTGGGGGTTCAAGTCACAAGTCTAATTGTTCTCATTTTGTATTCTTTAAGCTTCTTCGTTTAGGCATTGTCCTGAGACCAGTCATGCCATTCAAAGGCGCCCCCCGAAGCCCGAATCCACTTCCACGGACTCGGTATAGTCTCTGTCTGGCCTCGGTAGTGGCCAGGACCGTATCCTCTTGCAATTGCCGAACATAGGCCACGGACGCCTTAGCTCGCAGCGCCCCAGAGGTTTGGTGGGGTAGGCCACGGTTCGGCAGGTGTGACTTTTGCAGCCTGCAAAGGCCATGTGACTTTTGCAGCCCGAAAGGCTGGTTTTCACGTGCTTTTGCTTTTGTCCCATGCTTCTGAACTTTATCCAAACAGCAACATCAGGTTGTGGGGCTCGGGTGTGACAGGCTAATACAATCTGTTTGATTCTGCAATCAGCTTTTTATATCTTTTTGTTTAAAGTGCGGCTAATAGGCTATAGGCTATAGGGGCCTTATAACATAGTCCAACCTTTCTTGCCCTCAGCGTCCCTCAGCTTCTGTAAGCCTTGAGGCCACCGATTGACACAGCTCTGCGCCTGAGCCCGAAGCATTCCAAGCTGCGCTCCAGTTCGCGTGCCCCGATGCATTGGCACCAGTGGCATTCGCTTCGGTGGCTCCACGGCTCCTCAGACCATGGGACGAACAGGAAGCGACGGCTTCAGCGACGGCTTGATGGGTCCCATCTAGTCTTCATGCCGGACAGCTAGCACTCCGGAGTTCTCGTGATCGGCGATATCGGCGACATCGGTGGATGAATGGGGCAGTGGATGGCGGCGATGGCTTTCGGCGTCGCATGACCCATCTTTTCTCCCGCAAGTCGACCTTCAGGAAGATGGTTCATTGATCATCAGCCAATCCTACGGAATTGGTGGAGTGAATCGAAGGAGGATCTGTGGGATTGCACAAACAGAGGTGGGGTGGGTTGCAATCCCCTCCAGTTTGCCACAGACTAGATCTATGCTTTCCAGGCTTGGAAAAAGCAACAACAACATTGAGATCCCTTCATCCCCAAACCTGTTGAGATGTTGAACCTTTCGATCACACCTGGTTTGAACGGACCGGGTGTGCCCTCTCTCTCTCTCTGTGTACTAGTACCACTTCAGTAAAAAATGTCCACCCCTGCCACTGAGAGGTTCTGGCACCCAAGTACGCCATTGCTGCCATTGCTTGCCATTCCTCGAGTGGAGTTTCGCCAGAGAGCAGGACGAACTGAAGATGCGGAACGTGCGGGAAGTGGGTAGACTGGCGGAAAAACGCCCTGTTGGGGCGGTACCTTAAAAGGATCCGAACGAACGGAGGGACCATTGGGGTGCTGCTGTCATATCCACTCATTGGAATTCATTGGACCAAACACCATTCCTTTCAAACCTGGAATATGATGGAACCATATGGAACCATGAACATCCATGAACTAATTCGTCATGTTCCGCATTTTTCTTTCTATCCCCCCGCCCCCAAGAGTCTTTGGTGAAGCGACGCAGCGACACCTGCACAGCAACGACACCCCATCCGCTGCGACGCGACGCGTTCGTCCACCGGCGCACCAAGCGGTTCGGCGTACCGTCGCGGTGCCTCTGTGCCAAAAGCTGTCTCAAGGCCATTTCGGGAGCCTGGGCAATTTCTTGGAGCACACAGCTTATGATCCAGTGTTCGGAGAACACTGTGACCAATGTGTCAAAGACATTGGATGTACCGGAAAACTCAGCTTTGTGACTATTTGTCTTTATCTGTGCGAATGCTCAGGCTCCCCGCCAATGTGTTGGCATCGGAAGGTGCATAGAGCTGATGCATCGGCAGGTCGGACCTGGCCGCGGCGTGGCACGAACACACCGGTGCCGAATGGGGCTTCGAGGCTGGCGAATCCGATCCGGGAGTGTCAGAAAGGTCGAACACGGGAGGAGGAGTCTCGAATCGAAGGCAACATCGACTCGCACACAAAAAGACACATATCAACGACGTACGCGCGTGGTTTGTGTCAAGTAGACAGCATTATTATTCACGACACAAACACATTGTATTATGAGGGCATGGTTTCCAAAGGACCTTTAAAGCGTGGATCTTTGCTTGTTCCATCTTGTTCCATCTGTATCTTCTGCTCCAGCCCTGCCGCGACCCTTTCGTCTCGACTGCCGCTGTCGATTTGGCGCGTCCCTAAGATCGAATTTGGCTCCGTGCCGCGCGGTTGCGACGACTGATTCCTGATTCTCACAGGTGTGTGACAGGTGTGTGCATGTGTGTGTGTGTGTGATATGATCCAGATCAATCCAGTATCTTTGAGAACCGACATGATGGTGGACATGCAGAACAGCTCAAAATCTCTTCAGAAAATGGGCGGCAGCTGGAGCACAATTGGCGGCAGTGGGGGTCCTACGAGCATCGCCTCAAAAGCCCTGCGTTTGCAGGTGACGACTCAGGCGCAGCGAGGGCGCAGCGGCCAGGGCGATCCGCTGGAACTCGCTGGTTTTTTGGGCACTGCGATAAGGAATTCAACGCCGAAAACAAAAACAACTCTGAACCTGATCATCTCATATCAACTATCTCTCTTCGATCTTCCAATCATGCCAGTTAGTGTTCCCACACTCCGGTGGGATGGAGGATGTTTGAGTCGTGTTGTTCAGGTTCCTTTCTTTCGTTCATTCTCGGAGTCAAGTCTGAAGGGAGTGTCGGGTCTGCAAAACAAAACATGTGGCAGGTTACATTCAATTTTCACGTCCTTTGGTATCAAAAAATACATGAGCATATATATATATATGACCCACATCCATTTCAATGTGAAGAGCACCTCCAACCAATCGCACAGCCACTGTGTTCCAGTGGCTGTCTCTCCATCTGGCGTCCTTCTCGTTTGTATCTTAGTTGCAATTTCAATGGACCACAAATAATGGAAGGCCTGAAATATGCATCGCACAAGGATCAGCAGGACACCATACGTATAGCAGGCTGGATGGAAAAATTCGGCACGAAGGCCTTGCATGCGCAAGCCGCGTGAGATAAATCGGAAAAGACGTGAGGCCAGCTATAACAGCTAAGCCAACAGCCGGCGTAGCGGCTACGCACGTGGCGAGTGGACGTCATCGGATCCCCCAGCCATGCTTGCGTTCTTTTCTTTTCCCTGATGAAAAACACCTTCTGTGATGAAAAGCACCTGAACATACCTGAACTATAGATTATTGCACCATCATTGATGGAGTGGTGTTCCCATTCTTCAGTTCTTTTTCAAGGCCTTTTTGTGGGTCCTCTCATGTCCTCTCGAAGGCTGGGTCCTGTCTCTTGAACAGCTTCGGGCGCTTTCTTTTCGTGCGCCCCCCTTCTTTCGCCTCGCCACGTTGCCGTAACCCTCCGCGGCCTCACTGGAGACAGGTGCATTCGCCTAGGCCTAGGAGAGGCGGAGAGTGCTGCAGGTGTCGAACACCTCCGTGCGCCTGGCGAACCCGTTCGGACCTGGAGAACGGGTGCCGTGTGGAGACCGACAGAGATCCGGGCCGGCTCCACACGGGAGTCCAATGAAGCGATGTCAGATCCAATGGACCCTGGTCAAAGACCATGAGGGTCCGCCTTTGGGGTTTTGAAATATTCGCAACCAAACAACATTGTTTGCAACGGGGCCTTCGGCTGATTCTTTGACTCCCTAAACCAGAAACCCCCGCAGAAGGGGGTTTGGTTGCTTCAATCCTGGCCAACTTCCAACATTCTTGAAACCTAAAACATCGCAGAACATCGCCCTCTACTTTGCATCGCAAGACGCCTCGCTGTTGTAAAGCGGCTGGTGGTCGATCCTGGAACCTTCAGAGCAGAGCAGGAGCAGCAGTCACATCAGCAAACAAGCGAGCAAACTCCTTTTTGCCCTGCAAAATAATCGCTGATCTTTAATGCAATCACACTAGTTCGCGCGAGCACCCAGAATCACCGCTTTCATCACCGAAGAATCCTCCGTTTTCCAGCCAAGCAGCTGGACAAGTAGCGTACGACTGAAAAGGAGATCAAGACCGTGAGGAGAAGCAAGACCACGAGCGTCGAAGATGAAGTCTGGTACGTCCTCTCAGGACGAAGAGACCAAAACAAACAAGAGCCAGCATCCCAGGCTGATCTCTGTAAACCTATATAGCCATCCTAGGCCCTATGTTCGTAACAAAAAATCATGCTCCTATATTAAATTATAGAATCTGAGTTGGAGCCCCTGTTTTGACGCGCATGTTCACACACCGCGCCGGTGCGTTCGTTTTGCGTGTGCGAACCGCCGGGCATGCCCCGCCTCCCAAGACCCATGACCGGCCCAAGGCGAAAATCTTCTTGGAAGCCCGAAGCCACAGACACTTCCTTGCCAGACAGTTTCGGTCCACAGAGAGGAATCGTCCAGGGAGAAGAGAATTTCGGTCACCTATTGTTGAACGATCTGCACACTGTATACGCTGTCTTTCGAGGGCTGTCTTATGTCTTCTGCCTGCCCAAACTAGAAGAAACAAATGATTCAGGATTTGGCAGTGTGATCAAAACATCCAAAACGTGAACTCCAGGCCATGCAGCTGGTACTCACAGGTGATCAATTTCAAACATCGAAGCCCTGGTTTTGTATGTAGTATCCAGGAGCTACACTCCTTCGGAAGCCGAGCCCTCTAAGTCCTATCCACAAAGACAAACAATAGCGTCGGTTTGTTCACAACGTCTCGTCATTGATCACAGTCTGTCCATCCTCGATCTTTCCAATTGCGCTGTTCATGATCATTCAAGTTGGCAGAGGCTGTCTCAAATCGGAAGGATCTCGGGCTCACCACTGAGATGGACCAAGCTATGCCAGAAGAGTCCCCCCCCAAGCTACGACAGATCCTCGGGACCAAGCTACGCCGCTACGCCTGCACTCCAAAAGCCCCAACAAGGTCGGACAGCTTCTGTCACAAAAGAACACCAAGCTCATTGACCAAGCTCGGATTTTCCAGAGTTGCCGAACGGCATATGAAGGGTCGCGAAGGGTCGTCGCATGATCCATGACGGTCGACCCCGTGCTGCCTTGACGTGTTTAGCCGCTGTTTTTGCGCCCCTGGCCCCAACAGCAACACGAGGAACACATGGTGATTTTTGAAAAAACCGTGCACTAGACACAGAATCTGTGTTGTACTTGCAGGGCCAATGGGGAGAGCGTTAACTCCGCAAAGTAGCTTTTTGCTGGTTTTGTAGTATAAGGGTTTTTGATGGTTTTTGCACACTTTTCTGTTGTCATCGGTTTGAGAAGATAGTCATGAATTGCGCAACAGTATCATCGATTGTACAACATCGTCAACCATGTATAGTGCCAAGTCAAACAAAGCCACAGGCATACTGAGTGCAAATTTCCTATCTTAATGTGTTGGATGATCTTTGTGATCTTTGTCTGTTTGCAGTTGGGACATGTTTGGACTCTGACAGTGTTTTTCAGTTCTACATTAAATCAATATCGTTGAACACTAAACACTCAATACTCAGTGATAATTGCAGTACCAGAACCAAGGTTTCGAATTGATCGTGTTGACCATGGCGATGCAACTACAAAACATGTTCGGGTGCTCAAATTCCCTCCGCGCCGCTATTTGGACCGTTTCCAAACTTTTGGTGTCGTCACGCCCGCTCGCGCGAGAGCGATTCGCGCGACGCTGCGAAGCAGCTTTCGCCAGGTCTCATCCAAAAGCCGATTGATCCCCAGCAGAATCGCACGCGGTTGATCCGCGGGGACCATGTGCCCCGCTTCAGTGATCCTGGCAGGACCGGTTTTTCCGGCTGAGAAGCCGTTTTCTTCTGGAAGGCATTGACTTTACGAATTGGATACGAATTGGCACTGGTTTTGGTAAGGCAGCGTCAGGTAAGCCTTGTTTGCGGAATATGGAACAGTTTGGCAAAACAGTCCTCGGACCAAATGATCCAAATGATCCCCATGCTCAAATTCCAAAAAGCCTCATTAACGCCAAGTCTCTGCATCCATGTGAGGCCGCCCCCACTCTGCTCTTTTCCAGCCACCTCTCGAAGCAACGTGATCATTCGGTCTTCTCAGGCTCGATTCTATAGGTGAAGAAACCGATGCGAGAAGCAAATGCATCTGGTGATCCAAACATCACTCCAGTGTGGGTCCAAACATTTGTTCTGATCTGGCGGCTCAAAGACCATTCTGCCCGGGAACCTGAAGGCTTTTCTACGGCTTTTCCATTTACCAGTAGGTACCTGGATAGCATCGAAATTCTTCTTGAGTGGGTCGGAGCCGGACATAGCTGCCCATAGCTATGTCCTTCGTCGTTGGTTCTGCAGAACGCTAATCCGCTAATGACTTATCACTTATCCTTCTTTTATAACCGGGCCTCATGGCCCAAATAAAACGGTTGAAGCGGCGCATTGGCCCACTGCTCTGCCCCTGCCCATCTTAAGGAAGATGCGATGGAATAGCCACCTTGGCGACGGGTTTCCAAACCAAAAGTAGCAAAAAGTGGTTCTACTGATACTGCTTTTTGGGGTGATTTGGAGTGCTGAGCTGGGATCAAATCTGACATTTCAGAGATGAATTCTGATTTTGTTTCTCATGTTTCTCATGCTCAGCTTGGACGCACGGTGAGCGTCTAGTTTGATGCTCAGCCAGGCTTGCAACTTGGACGGGCTTGCAGACCTATGTGGCTCGGCTGGACTGGCCACTTTCAGACTGCTTCGGGTACTTCCTTGCGTATAGGGTTATATAGCTATAGGTACGGGACGACCTCCGTTTTCTGTTGTGTTCTGACCTGATCCGTAGAAATTGGAGGATCTTTGTGAACAAAGGACGCCACGGATCATCTCGGCCACCAAGGAACCACACCCATCGGACGCTATGTCGGCCAGCTCTCCGCCAGCTCTCCGCTCTCGAGGTCCGGTTCCGGGTCGTTCCCCCAAAGGACCCACCACTCCGTGAGACGTCACTGTTCCCCGGTTCCGTCAGGGGAGAGTTCGTTCGGTTCGTGCGGCCTGTCGCAGGGGAAGAGTCCGTCCATAAGCAAGGCACCGACATAGTTGCAGGTGGCATCTTTCATTCCATAAGCCATCAAGATGGGGATCTTCATCTCCAGCACCTTCGACATGGTCTGGACATTGTCGGCATCGTCGTAGGCGTCGAACTCTCCGGGGAAAACGATGCCTGGGTGAGAACAAAACATGTTTGCGCGTGTTAGTGAGGTTGAACAGTTGCGCCTTTAGTTTCGCCTCAACATGTTGGCGAAACTAATCTGTGTCTATCATTTCAGTGAGCTAAGTCGGCTGCGTGTAGTTCACAAGTCGGCTGTAGGCTTCAGAACACGGATCCACATTCAAGATGGATGATGGATGTCAACGGATCCTGTGGACCAACATCCCAAAATGAACAGATACCTTCGCAGCCAACACTTGCATCCAAGTGGCACCCGGCACCGCAGCCAGCAAAGGAATCTGCCCCAGCATCACCGCAAACGTTCAAGGCTTTACGCACTGCAAGGTGAGTGAACCACCTTGACGTCCGGTCACCGGGCGAAGCGGCGTTGTGCAACGAAAGACGTGATGATGGCGACCTCTCCAAGACATTTAGCAACTTGAAGAGCTTAGATTTCCTAGAATGCTTATACAGTATACATATATAATACCAGCAGTTCCAGTGCTTAATGAAGGATACTTGTAACTACAGGTGCCATGGTGCCGTGGTGCAAACCTCCAGATCCCCTGCATCAGCTTACCATCTCTTATACGCTTTCGCCTCCTTCCCCGCCTGTCGAAGTCCGAGTAATTGTAGCCCATGCATCCACAGCACGGGCCAGCCGAAGCAAGACGATAGTCGTAGGTGTTGGGTAAATAATTGATGTGACTCCAGACCTGATACCTGAGACATGAGCCGAGTCACCTACTCCGCGGTGTAGACACCGAGTCACCTACTCCGACCCCACATGCGACCACAGGGAGATCCGCAGGCCGGTCCGGTCGGTGTGGCTTGGCCCCGAGGAGCGATCGGTGCGAATCGCTCGTGCAGGAGGGGAAGACAGGTCGCGGCGGCACTGGGTCTGGAGGGGGATCGTGTGCGGAGAGAAGAAACAAACAACATATGACTTCAAAAAAAAGAATAAAACCCTATAGGGCTCCAAGTATCGAAGGTATTTGGACCCTCGAAACCCATCCCAGTCCCACCTTCTAAGAAGGTACGACTGGAGCCCTAGGGTAGATCTATTGCAATCATCCATTTCTGACACGTCCATCTGCATTCGACCGGGTCACCACGATCGGGTGAAGCGGACGGGTCATCGCGACCCACTCGACTCCGTCGAAGAGGTTCGACATGGAACCTTAAAACATCTTAAAACCACGCACTTCGACGACCCCGCCACGGTCGAACCCAAAGATTTCTTTTTTCCTTGCCCTATCAGGTTCCAATTGTCCTGGGTGTATGATGTAGAAGGTGGAAGAAGGTGGAAGAAGGGGTCGGTGGGGTGAAAAAGGGTCTCAGATTTGGGTCTCTTCCTGTTCGAGACTCGCGAGGAGGTCTCCTCGCTTGGCCTCCAATCGAGCTACCGTGCAGCTGACATGGAGCTGGGATTTGCATGGCTGGGCAGGAGCTTCTCCTGAAGGCGCTTAGAGCTCAGGGAGTTTTGGGCGGCGAACGGAGGGGTGGGTTTCTTCATCTGAGGGGGGGCGAAGCGGAAGTGCACCCTGCTTGGTTTAGAAGAACGCATTCACATTTCACAGGTCATGCCGTTTCCACTTTTCACTGTACCTGATTCCTGGCGCACCCAGGTAAGCATATTCACCAAAAGTGAGCGCCGCATCTTTCGAAGTCGGCTCCTTCTTCGCAAAGCGTGTGAAGGACTCCAAACCTGACCGAGACAGAGAGAAGGAAGGGACCTTCGCTACTAGGAACAAGTGCATCGCTACTAGTAACAAGTGCCTTACTAGTATAGTAACAAGAAGCTACTAGGAGCAAAAGCATCGCTACTAGGAGCAAGTGCCTTACTAGTAGTAACAAGAAGCTATTAGAAACAATAAGTAAACAAAATAATAAGCTACTATAGGAACAAGTGCATCCTGACCCAGACAGAGAGAGGGAAGGGACCTGGAGCAAAGGGCATCGCTACTAGGCACCGTACAGATTCGTTTTGGGGCGGATGTGGCCAACCGCCCGTCTCTCGTCCACACTTCTTCGTCACCGTCACGAACGAGGCGAAATTCGGCGCGGCATGCTCGCCATTTCAAGCCGCAGAAGACAGGCAAGTTCATTGAACCCCTGCATTGCCTCCTACTCCATTTTGAGGCAAATGGGGTGGTTTTGTTGCACATGCTGGCGTGAAACCAACCTTCTTCAAGCTCTCATGGCCTTGAAATCTGAGATCAGTTGATCGATGTTTGGGGTGAGTCTCTGAACTTGTGTCCATGGCTGCCCTGTTTTTGTCAGTACTTCAAGTACTTCGTACACCTGGCCGCCCTGTGCGGCACTAACCCCCGTCCAATTTCCCGGCCTTGTTGGTGTTTGTCAATACAAGTGCTACTGAAGACCATGCCCGCAATCTGAATCGTCTCGGCCGGTGTCCTTGGAAAATGAGCGAAAATCAGGGGTACCGTGCCGCTCCATTTCCGCTTCTAGGGCTTCCAGCCTGGCACTTAGTCAGGTGTAAGTCTTCCACAACCAAATGACTTTTCGTTCAGTTCTATAACAGTAGACACGGTTTTTAAAGGTATCGGTATGGGAAAATTTGCGCTCAGCCGCTCAGCAAGAAACATCAACCAATGCCGCTGCGTATGCTTTCTCCCACGTCTCCTGACTACTGCAATTCTTTCATGCAATCAACCAAGGCACTTACTAGACTTACTCTGCCTCTTTAAAAGAAGGGCTACTAGGAGCAAGAAGCTACTATAGGGGGCTCCTGGCATCGCTACAAAAGGAGCGAGAACGCTACTATAGG